GGGGGTGGAATTGCAATAATTGGTAAGCATAAAAAATAATAATTCGTGTATATGTATATGTATAAAAAAAAATACGTATCACCAAATTAATGACTATAAATTAGATATAAAAAGAGAACAAACGAGAGCGGTAAATAGAAATGTGTGTTTTACTAAGAATCGAAACTTTATATTTATAAAGAAGAAGTATATATACAATTGTAATAAAAACTATGACTGTAGAGGTATAATTGTCATTAATTTATAGTTTACAATAATTTATTGCACTGTAAAATCATAATATTCCAAATCTCATGCATATTTCATTATTGTATGCTTAGTATGATCGGTTATAGTCAATAAAATAAGGATTCTGTTATACGCACACTCCATGGTTTACATAATCATTTACACCACTCTCACATGGAGGGGAACCCATGAATATTTTATTGTATGTGGGCCCCCCTCCATGTGAGAGGGGTGTAAAGAATTGTGTAAAGGATTATATGCATTTAGCATAATCCATAAAATAATACGTGCTCTTGATTACAATTAAACAAAGTTCTCAGTGTAATGTGTTTTAAAATGTAGTAGTATTTATGAATGATAATTATATCTCTACATCCCTAATTATTATTACCATTGTATTCCTTGTAACTCTAATTCTTCCATATAAATATGGAGCTTTGGTTCTCAATGAAATACACAAAAATCTATTGACTTCCTTTATTTCTATTTTTCTCTCTAGTTTATAACACGTCATTAGCACGATTCCCTCAAAATCAAAATAAAACTATTAGAAGGTAATAATTTTTATAAACATAATCATCTGTGTCATATGAACCAAAATTAATTTCATGATATGTGAATTTTTCTATATACATATGTATCAAACGAGGTTCCTTCTTCTTCTTTTTTTTCTTAATACTTTTTACCTTGTATGCAATAATTATTTTTTATTATGGACAATGATTACTTTCCACCATGTAGCCCTCATTGTCTTTGTTTGTGTTGGTAATCAACCTCAATACATGTCTCATCCCGGCGCAAATTTTATTGGTAAGGTGAATTGTCTGTACGTTATATGTTTTTTAATCAGTGATAAACTATGTATATGTGAAATTCTTGTAAAATATGCTTGAAATTTGATAAATTATCTTAAACAACTATTTGATTCTTAAGAAATTTGACATCTTAACTATTGAAAGCAAATTAATTTTTAATTGACAAACACTAAATTGGAATCTACCATTTTTGTAAAGATTTATTTGATTCCTAAGAATTTTCCTAATGTATTTATGGTAATTAATTTTTATATATAAATTTATATCTTGTTTGTATAGTAATTAATATTTTTAATCTAATTAAATCTTTTAGATTTTTTAATAAATTTTAAATTAATAATCTATCATGTTGTTGCACTTAGTACCGCAACATTATAATTAATATTCCAAAAGAATAATACTTCTAGATTTGTCTATTAAAATATTGTTGCTCCTGAAATAACACGATAATATTTACATATATTTTAATTAGATTTTACTTGCTCTTGAAAAACATAATTAAATATGATCTAACATAAATTGCATTTTTACTTTTGAAGAGTAGATTCTTATACAATTTATTATAATAATATGTGATTATTCCTGAAAAGAATGAAATTATAATTTTCAGTATTCCAAAAAAATATTGATCTATTACTTTTGAAAAAGTAATAATAAACTATAATGTGCTCTCAAAGTAGCACACATCCCGAATAATATATATCTCATTGTGTTTTTGAATAAACATAAATTAAACAACTCAATACTGGGTTGTAAATTTTGAAGGAAAATAATTTTCTATATTATTAATATTTAAGAAGAATATTAATTTATTGTTAGAAGTACATGAATTATAATTTTCAATAATAAAAGAAAACGCACTCTCGAAGTAACATATATTTTGAAAAATCCGAAGGAAAGTATATAACTCATGTCATATTAACATTGATTAGTCTGTCTACTTGATTGATTATTATATGATTATATAATGTTTAATCATATTCTTCCAAATTAAATATTGAATTGTATTTTAAATTGAACTAGAAGTTCAACTTGATTTTTTGGCATAATCAGTTGGACCATCACTGGATTAATAGTGATGTGAAATTAAAAATTCAAATGAGCATTCAACAAAGAATAAGAAGATTCTTCAATTCAATGAATTT